TAGAGTCATAGCTTGCTGGGAGAGCATTTAATGCTGAAGGGCCTGTGTTCAAGACACAGTACCAACCAACCAAGAGCCAAACCCAGATGCCTACACAGTGGGGCTGTGTCATAGCTTGCTTTCCAAAGAGGAGACTGACATCAGGAAAGAACAGAGGAGATGAAGGCTGTTAGAAATGCATGGTGCTTCCAAAGGAAGACAGTTGCCACTCCCACATTCTGAGCAACCAACATGGCTTCCCTCAGTCCCAGAGGGTTCCAGTATGCATGTGGGCAGCAGAGTCAGAAACAGGGCTCCAGCTTTTGTCTCAAACCTGCATCTCCTAAAGGGGAGGGGTGTGTGCATGTGTGCATACACACGCATGTGTGCATGCCAGCTAGCATCCAACACTGTTGGTGATCTTCCTTCAGAGTTCCCATTGCTCATGACACAGGATCTAGGGTTCTTTTCCAGTTTGGTAAAAATGCCTTTCATGTCCAAAAGGATGACATGAAGCCATCATAGCGTTTGCTGTCCAAAACGAATGATACCAAGGTGTACACATCACAATTGCTAGAATTTAACCTTGTGCACCACAGATACTTTTCAAATCAATGGGATCCATATGTAAGGTAACCTTTGACCATCTTAAGTAAGAATAACTACCAGGCCCACTATGAGATGGTTCAGAGGACAACCGGGTTAATGAAGGGTCTAAAGGGGCTGGTAACTACTGATATTATGAACTGAAGAGTGTAAATTAGAATGATGCCAGAGCCTAATGGATATGGAAGGTAAATATGAAATCAGATAGTGAGGTTAGTTGGGTTTTGACTACTTCCAAGAAGTCAGCGCCAGCCAAATTGCATTATAACTGGAAGCATTGGACTAGAAATACTTGTATCAGCAAAGCTGTCCACAAGCCCGTTTGGCCTCTTTTTATATAAGACAACAGCTTGTTGGTAGTCAGGGGATGAGATGATAAAGTGATTGTCCCATCCCCGACCCTTCCCTCAGTCTACCCAGCTGTCCTATAGGTATAGAAATGCCTGACTTATTGAGTGGGGAAGAACAAGATAAGGATGCTACGGTATTATAAAAGTAGCAAAAGCCTGAATGGGGTAACACTTAAGATTAACAATGCATGTTCAAATATTGTATGTCACTTGACCTTTATTACAAACCCTATCAGATTCCAGACACTCTGTGCAGCCAATTTTTTGAAATGCTTCCTTACTGTTACAAGATGAAATTAACATTCCCAGCACCCACATGGCAATTCACAGCCATCTGTAATTCCAAATCCTGTGGGGGTGGAGGTTCAGTGGTCTTTTCTGTTCCCCAAGAGCACTGCATTCATATGGCACGCAGACATGCATGCAGGCAAAACACCCATACACACAACATAAAAATAATATTTTAAGAAAAGACTATACAACTCCACTACACAGATGATTTTTTAAGAGGGGTGTGTGCATGTGTTTGTGCACGGTATAAGTGCAGCATGCATGTGCATATACATAGGTGTGAATGCCTTTGCCTTTATGGAGGGTAGAGGAAGAGGTCAAGTATCCTGCTCCATAACTCTCCATATTATTCGAGTCAGTGTTCCTCATGGAACCTAGAGTTTGGCTGGCAGCTATCAAGCCCCAGAGATTCTGTTGTCTCTGTCACTCACAGTACTAAGGTAATATACAGGGGTGTAAGCATACCTAGGTTTTTATATGGGTGCTGGAATTAGAACTTCGGTGATTACGGTCTTCTTAGCCACTGAGCCGTTTCTCTAGCCCCAACCTTGTGCTTTTTGGGGTTTTAGAAATTATTCTCACTAAAAATTCACCACTATTTCCTAGGCCATCCCAGGCCTCCAAACGCCAAACCTGGACCACATTCTGAAACTTTTCATCGTCTTCTGTAATTGAGACGCAGTACTTCCTGGTTCAATGACACTAAGATGGTCAGCACTCACCTAGTCAGAGGCACTACAACTCCGGGGACAGTTCAGAACTCAGATGTTGCTCTCACACATGTGTTTTGCTGGCCCTGGGTGTCTGAGCTGTGCCATCTCCCAAGAGAGGACTTCTGGGCCAATTGACTTAAAATTAGAGCTCAGATGGCAAAAGAAGAGGGAATAATGGGTTGAGAGATTGCCCTCATTTGCCTCTTTAAATTTTCATGCAGAGGGTGATTTGTTAACAAGGGGGAGGTCTTGAGGCATCAATAATTCAGCAGAAACTATCAAACTGCAAATAGCCCCTCTGTGCCCAGCTGAGCTCCTGTCTGTTACACCAGCTACTGCGCAGGCAGTACTGGGAAAGGGCCGGGCTTCCGTGACCCAGCCCACCTCGGTTCTGCCTGTCCTTTCCCGATTCTCAGATCTGGAAACTGAGAGCAGGGACTCATGCTTCACAATGCCAAGCTAGGGGAGGCTGAACACCAGAGTCTCCAAGGAAGGTCCTGGATACCCGGCAGTCTTCCCCAAAAAGATCCCCAGTGTAGACACTACCACCTTCTGTCAGACGTACTTTAAGGTTCAGGGTTTAACGAATGATTCTCCACACCCCAGCCATACTTCACCCCCCCCCCCAGAACAAATGTTGCTTCATCCCATTTGCTTCATTTGGGTTCTTCAGGCCTGCCAGACAGTGAGTGGTTCCCCTCTTCCAGGAACAGAGGGGCTTAATAGTACTCGAACCCTTCCCCCTACCAAACTCAGTTCCTCTGAATCCTCTCAAGAGCAGACTTCAGTTTGTGGTGTCTATGTCTGTGCTTGCATTGTCTGACTTTAGCAAAAGCCCCGTCAGGTCACTTTAGTCAGTATCCTCCATCTTCCTTCGAGTCCTGTGGTGCCTCCTCACATAGTGGGGTGCCCAGTAGCCTGGGGTGAGCAGTGGGCTCTACTTAATGTACCCAGTAGCAGCTGACGTTCGGCCGACAGACAGATTTGGAAGGTGCCATTTAATGTTTGTGGGTTTTGTTTTGTTTTGTTTTGTTTACACCTGTGGGAAAATGAGAAAACAATACCATGACATGAAAGTTTCACCGTGGACAAAGTACCTGTCTTCTCCCTCAGGTGCCCACCAGCTATCCCAGGAGCAGGAAGCAAGGTGAGCTGTGGTGAGGGCAGTGCAGAGGAAGTACTTGCTGGTCAGAACATGCTACTTAATTCATAATTCAAGCACCTTTATGTAATCATTGTAACCCCCTTCAGTTAATTCAGGGCTTCAAAAGAGTGCTGTCCCCATAACCCCAAGGGAAGAAGTGGCATTATATGGAACAAAGGTACAGTATAGGGTATTTTCTTCTCCCTCAGCCACACCTTTACCAGTTCCTTGGTGACGAAGATGAACACTTAGGCACGGGTCCAGGATTTTCAAGTGATGAGGAGCTTTGGGAAGACTGGAGACCAGCCGCAGATGGAGAAGGGAGTTAAGATAAGCCCCCATCTTTCCATACACATGTGTGATAACCTACACAAGGTGGACAGGAGGAAACAGAGGATGAGCCAGTCAATGCTTGAGTTATATGTTCAGTCATAGATGCTTCTCGCCCTCTGATGGGGAGGTGCTGATAAAAGCACCGTAAGTTGAAAATATCCTAAGTACAAAGTGCATGTAGTACCTCCTGTACTTCATAGCTTGACGACACAACACAGCAGAGCATCATTGGTTCCATGTTACATTTGTGTGGCTGTCTGCTATTTCCCAGCATCAGGCCATGGCCCTGTGCGTGTCCTTTGCTCTCAAAATGACCCAAATGCAAAACTTTGAGATGATTTGTGTGGAATGCAAATAACACTTTCACCTCCATAAAACTCTTAAATCATCGCACCGAGCCGTTAGTTGGAGCCCATCTACAGAAAGAACATTAAATATGAAACATAAAGTGTGATATGAATCTATCATGGCTCTGTATGTTCAACACGGTGATTTTTACCTCTCTCTGCAAAGCCTTGTGCATACTAGATGATGTTGAGTTCCAAAGTGCCTCCATGTAGAAACTGCTTATACACAAAACATGAACAGCGAGACATGCAGGCATGAGTCTCTTGTCTGTCCTGTGTATTCATCTGTCTGATATGCTTTATTTTCATGCCCCTACCTCCTTCCTAGGCCAGTATAGCACCTCGGCACTGGTCTCTGATGGTGCCCCCTGCAGTCTCTTCTCAGCAGAACAGATGGCATGGTCTCTGTTAAAGGCTAGCTTACACCCCACCTTCCTCTTTCTCCAACTTCAAACAGTGCACAGTACATTCAGGAGAAAGACAAGGCTGAATTATACAGACTTCAATGGGCCCTGCCCGCCTCGCCTCACTCCTGTCCCAGTATTCCCTGTGTGCGTCTCTAGGCCCTTCCCATGCTCCTGTCTCCTGGACTGTCTCTACTAAGCCTCACTGGCTGAATGTGGAATGCCATGGGTACTACCTAAGTGTCTATTACAGATCTGCTATTCCCTGGTGGTTGTTGTACCTGCTCTGTGGCCTTGTCCCCACAACCACCACTAAGCTTCTTTTTCACTGAATGCTGTGTTCATTTTTATCTCTCCCACATGCAGGCTTGGTGCAGAGTAGGCTCAGAATACATTACTTTCTTTTTTCAGAATTAAAAAAATAAATTTACTTAAAAGAAAAATGGGGAAAAGATTCAAAACTAGAGTACTGTTCCCTTAAATAATATACCTAATGTGAACTCAGAGTATCAGAAATCATATGCTGTCCCCAAAGGCCATGTCTCTACAACACAGGAACTCTAATCATCAACATAAACTCTGAAATGAAGAGAACAAGTGGAAGCCAGTGAGAAGAAACCCTGGCAAAGACACAACGTGAGCAGGTGCTTTGGGCATCAGGCTCTGGCTGGTGAGGACCCTGGTCCTAGATTGAAGGAGGATAGATACCTAGTCAAACATCTTGGCTCCAAAGGGGGTTGGGGGGGTAACTGGCAGGATTCAAGGGGGAAGCAATGCTGCAGCCTCCAAAGTAAGTCTCAACTTCTCAATCCCAGGAGCATGCGCTCCCACACTTCAGCATAGTCTCGTCTCCTCAGGAGGATTTGTTGTCGGCTGTGAAGTGACGATACAGGAAACCTACAAGAATAGCGCCCACGACGGGGAGACTCCAATATGCCCAGAAACTTTTGCACGTGCTGCTTTTTGAAGGATCCTTGTTACCACCATTTTTAGGTTCAAGGTCACTCGGATGAACATCACCAGTGAAGTACTGCTTCAGCATTTCCCTGGCATCAGGGGAGTGGCCAACATCTTCAAAGCTTTCAGTTGCATCAGCACCAGCTTGTTCCAGCAGAACCTCTTCCCCACCAGGATGCTCGCTGAGGAAGCGGGTAATATTGTAGACTCGCCCGTGGATCACCATCCACGTCTCCGCCTCCGCAGAGTTTCACTTCCCCACCTCCTCCAGCCGGTAGTACTTGATGGAGGGGTTGCAGCCCTCGCCATTCCCGCCGCTGCCGCTGGCCTCTGAAGTCGCCATTGAGTCCGAGTCCCTCTCTACCGCTATCTGGGGTTCTGCAGCTAACTTCCTTCAGGTCTGGCCCGTGCTTCAGAATACATTATTTTTAATGAACACAGTAATTAGTAAGGAGATTCATCCTCAAAAGTGTACCCGACTTAATCCCACACTTACTTATCTTACTTATCACTTGGGTCAGGCAGGAGTATGTGGTGTCTTTGGCTTAGACATTACTCTTCCCTGGGTATGAAGGACTTCAATCTATGTAGGGAGAGCTGGCATAGAGTTAACAAAGAGATGAGGGATTGGGAGAAAATATTCGCAAAACTCAAACGTTATAAGTAATGACTCTTAATAAAAAGTTATAAAAGAAATTAAGGGCTATTTTATTCAGTGACTATTTGTGAGTCAACAAGAAAGACTGCAGCCATGTATTAAAACAAGATCATCCAGTTCATCAATTTACAAGAAAGCATTAATAGCAACTTCAGTCCCTGAAACAGAAATAGCATTTTTTCATTTAATAAAATTACTAAAAAGTAAAAAGGCTAATAAAATCAATACTGATGACAGTGTATGTACATTTCCTAGGACCCACATGTTTGTGTTCTGAATTACGTTCTAAACTACTACTATTTTGGTGGCTATCTATTATTATGTTACAGTCTTTAGTTGAGAAGAGTGAAATTAGTCTCATTGCACTACAGTCAAGGTGCTGGATGGCTCACGCTCCTTCCTAGGGTCCCTATAGGAAGGCTGGCTATGCTTCCATGGACACTCTAGCATCTGCAGGCTGCTGAGGTCCTGGGCTTATTGTCTCCTTCTACCTTCTTCAAAGTCAGCCACAGCAAGTCATGCCCTTCCCCGAGGGTCATCACTCTAATCTCTGGAGTCTCTTCAGCTCTATGGAGGATCACTTTGATTACAGTGTGGCTACCCAAATAATTCAGATGATCTCCCTGTTGTCAAAGAGGAAACTTAATTCCTTCACCATTATCAGTCTCCTTTGCCGAGCAATCTAGCATATTGGGCTGTCCCAGAGCTTGGGACATAGGCACTATTCTGTCTATTACACCCAGCAATTCCCATTCTAGGAATACAACCTACAGAAAAATATATACACACACACATGCCTCATGTACATGATTGAAGATTTGCTACAATGGTATTTCTAATAGAAAAATAAAAAGAAAGAAGGAAGGAAGAAAGGAAGGAAGGAAGGCAGGCAATGGAGCTGTTGTCTGGAAATGGAATACGACACACTCCTGGGTAGTGGCTAATTTCAGATATCAACTTGATGGCCCTTAGGCTGCCCTAATTTTGGTCAAACATTACCCTGGGAGTTTCCGTGAGAGTGGTTTTGGGTAAAATGGCCATTTAGACCTATAGATCAAATAAGGCAGATTGCTTCACATAATGCTGGCAGGCTTCCTCAAGTCACTTAGAGGCATGGATGGAGCAAGAAGTCTGACTCTCCCAGGAAACAGAGGACTCTTCCTACCTGGTGACTTTTGAACCAGAACACAAGTTTCCTCTTGCCTCTAGTAAAACTGAAATATTATCTCATCCTAATTTTTAAAGGTAATATTTTGATTGATTATCTGGAAATTTCACATAATGCATTCTGATCCCTTTCACTTCCCAGTCCTCCCAGGTCCACCCTCTCACTCTTGGGACCTTCCCCAAAACACTCTCACAGAAACTCCCAGGGTTTCAAGGTAAAAAAAAAATGCACAAGAAATTAAATCAGTGAACAGAAGGCACCTATTAAGCATGAAATCAGAGCACAGGATGCCACATGTCCTTGAAGGAAGCTGTATTGTTGCTAAGGTTTTAACTCCCATGAATTAGGCAATTGAAACAGACCCTTGTGCCCTGGACACAGCCTCTTTCTGATAACAGGAATCTCTCTGTGCCCTGAACAGTCTCTTGAGCCTTGCTAACAAACTTCTGCTCTCCCTCCACAGACTTTTTGTGTTTTTAACAGATTGTATCAGATCCTCCGGTGTTTTGGTTACTGAATGTACAAAAAAAAATCAAATGTACCACTCCACTTGTAGCAGAGACTAGGTGGAGTAATCTCAGAGGTGTTTTCTGCTAGCAGCAGCTTACACTCATTTGGTCTCTAACTTGGCCTTCATGAGGTTATCCCTAGAGCCATGATGTTCCACTTAACTTTAAGGAAATCAGTTCCCCTCCACTCTGTTACCATACAGGCTGTGACCACGGCTAACACCATGACTCTTGACCATTTGTTTGTTCCGTGTTGTGTAAGATAAGAGTGTGAAAACCGGGAAAGAGAAATAACACCCTGCTTCTGCCACTCTGGATCACGGGAAGATTAACAGAGGAAAACATTTTTCCATACAGTAAATGTTGGCTGAAGTCTTTCCCCGGTGCTGTTTGGTTCTGGGACACATGAAGTGGGTAAGGCATGCAAGAATGTAATAGAATCCAGCCTCTGCTCGGGTCACGATATCTCCAGCAGTCTCCTTTCACAAATGCCAGTGGGCACCGCTCTGAAACATGGTCTGTGAGGTTTTAGATACAGGCATGCCAGGACCAGCATCTCACCTGAAAAGTGAGTTAACAACACAGGAAGGATGAGTGGCTACACATCTTGCTCCCTACCCTCTTCCCTAACCCCTGCCTGGAAATCAGAGATCCTGGCTGCAAACTTGTACTTGTGAACCCCTCCCCCACCCTCAGAAAAGTATAAGAAGAGACTTCTACTTCTGAACCATGGGCTCTGATCATTTCTTCAGAGACACCACTGCGATATCGGTCTCTGGTGCTGGAGCATGAACTTCTTGGGGTTCTCACTGAGACTGTCTGTCCACAGCATTAATAACTTTTCTAATGAGCCCCCACTATGTGTATCTGTTTATGGCATCAATAACTGTTCCAATAAACTCTTTACTTCATAGCAATCCAGCTCACTGTCCCTCTCAATACTCCCCACCCCCATGCCTGCTTCCAAAACCTTTCAAGACAGCCCTCTGGGGACGCACTGCCTTTTAAGGAAGCTATTCCATGAACAGTTCTCACACAGAACCACACATGCTAGGGTGCTGTGGTGCAGCCTGAAGAATAGAGGTGAATGAAGGGTTTGAAAAGTTAGCTCTTGGGAAGAATTTTAGAGAAAGAGTAGGGCAGGATGGAGAAAGGTACTCAAGAACAAGCCAGCACATGGGGAAGTTTAGATTAGAAAGAGCTTTTACAAAACAGAGCCCATTGTTCTCGGACACTCTCCTTTAGAGGGGTGTCATGATCCCTCCTCTGAATTTGAGGGGGCATCAGATCTGCTTGCCCAGTAGACACAGAAGAAATAATGCTGATAGATGCTTTAGGTCTAGACTTGAAAAGGCCAGTGTATTCTACTGTGTCTCTTAGAATATTTACTCAGCATAGTAACTGTACTTAGCCCTGGAGACCCATACGGAGGCAACCAGAGAGAAGCTGAGACCCTCACCCTCTAGAATCCTGGGGAACATTCTGCCAGTGTCCACCAGAGTGCCAGCCAAGTGGATGAGCAGTCTTAGAAGTGAGTCCTCGAGCCGGGCATTGGTGGCGCACGCCTTTAATCCCAGCACTCGGGAGGCAAAGGCAGGTGGATCTCTGTGAGTTCGAGACCAGCCTGGTCTACAAGAGCTAGTTCCAGGACTGCCTCCAAAGCCACAGAGAAACCCTGCCTCGAAAAACCAAAAAAAGAAAGAAAGAAAGAAAGAAAGAAAGAAAGAAAGAAAGAAAGAAAGAAAGAAAGGAAGGAAGGAAGAGAGAGAGAGAAAGGGAAAAGAAATGAGTCCTCGCTTCAGAACTTTGCCAACATTGCATGGAACCAAGACACATGCTGTCTCTGCTGGAGCCCTGTTCAAATGACAATTGATGGACAAAAGAAATGTTGCTGTTGTTTGAAGTCACTTAAGTTTTGCGTCAAGGATCTCCAATCAATAGTACCTGAGACATGGCAGTGACAAAGGGGACAGACTCAGTGTGGCTCCTGGGTCTGTCTTAGTAATACAATGAAGATACTTTCCTAGAGAGTTGTAGACAGAGTTGTCTTGTTGAGTAGAGGGTGTAAACATTAGACAGAGGTGGTGAATTCAGGTTGGTACCTACTGAGTTTGTGGAGTAATGATATTTCCCTGGGCAGACAGCTTCTGCTACTAGACATGGTGGGAAAGAGTACAAAAAAAGAAGGAGGTAGGGATGGCAGGACAAACTTGCAAATGGCTGTTTGTGGAGAGAGAATGCATGACCATGACTCCAAAAAGAAAAAAGAGTATGGGAAATATACACAGAAGAGAGCTGAGGGGGGAACAATCTGGAAAGGACAGAAAATGATGACAGGTAATCAGAAAAGTGGGTAAGACTTGCTCTAGGTTTTTACTTTGGTTATTATTTATTTCTTTTGTGTATCTGTGTTGCCCCTCCCCCTCATGTGTGATGGTGTGCATAGAGCAGTCAGAGGACAACTTGAAGGAGTTGGCACTGTCCTTCTGCCATGTGGTTCCCAGGGTTCGAACTCAAGTCACCAGACTTGGTGGCAAGTGCCCTTCCCTGGATTCCTTTCTCTTCTTGATGAGTAACATTTGTAACCGCAAAGAAGATGCTGAATGAGGCAGCCCACATCAATGCCTGACTCTAGACCCCCGAAAGAGGGAGGATCCTGTCAGACAAGTGCTGCTTTTTCTGAGGCCTGCTTTGTGTTTACAGGGGAAAGTGAGCCCAGGTGGGGCAGGCTGCAACCAGCAGGACAAACACCTCTCTCTCTCTGACTTTTACAGCCCTTGCCTAGAATTCTGTCAGGAGCCTGGGAAGTCAACCACCAATTGTGCTTTTGGGAAAATGATGACAAATCAAGATGAGAATTGGCATTCTGCCTTGGGGACACTCTTTGCAGTGTAGTATCTTCTCTGATCTGCACGTCTCAACTGAGGAGGGAACAGTGACTGACGGAGCAGTGGAGCAGTGGCTGGAGGACTGGATGAATATTTCATGGGTACTGGTGGAGTTAATAA